GGGTGCCTGCAGGGACGGTGGCCCTGGAGGGGAATGCGGGGGGTACACGTGGGGGGGTCCTGCGGGGGCACAAGACCCCAGGCCCCACCCCCGAATGCTGGGGGGGGTGGGGGGCAGCTGCGCTTGTGCCGAGAGGCTGCCATCCCCCCCCTCCAAAAAACCCCAAATTCTGGTGGGGGAGGGTGGGACAGGACCCACCGGGGCCTTGCTGTGGGGTCTCTGCCCCTGAGGGGGGGTCCCTGCCCCTGAGGGGTCACTTCAGGGGGGGTCCCTGCCCCTGGGAGTGCCCATCTGGGTTGGAGGGGTCCCTAAACCACACGGGTCCCTTGCTGGTGGGACCCTGTCCCCTTTTTGTGGGGGGGGCAGGGGGGGATCCCTTCATCCTCACGGGGTCCTCACTGGAGGGTCCTGGGGGGTCCCTATGCCCTCACTGGGGGGTGGCCCTGTCTGGGGGGGTCCCTACTCCTACTGGGGGTGGGGTGGGGGCATCGCTCTGCACCCCCAGTTTAGGGTCGAGTTCCCTCCCTGCTCGGGGCACATCCCCAAGGGTGGGCTCGGGGCTGGGGGGGTCACTGCAGCCCCTCCCCTGCAGGCCCCCCCTCGGGCTCGGGGCCTCCCGCCTCGAAGGGGGGCTCGGGGCCCATGATGTCGGGCTCCAGCTTGCCGGTGTCGTTGATGAAGGAGGTGTAGGAGTCGCCCTCGGCCATCAGCAGCTTCAGCTTGGGGATCCAGCTCTTGCGCACCACGCGCCGCGCGTTGGTGCACATGTCGGCCGCGATGGCGTTCATCTCACTCTCCTTGAAGTTGGGAGCGAAGTTCTGGCAGTAAACTGGGGTTGGGGGGGACACACACATGAGGATGGGGTTGGGGGGAGCCAGGGACCCCCGAGTTTGGGTTGGGTGGGAAACGTGGGGTGGTGCTTCGGTGGTGTCACCTTAGTGCTCCTCTGGGGTGCTTCTGTGCTCTCTCTGGGGCCCCTTCCATCCCACCTTGTCCCCTCCCTGACGTCACTCCTATACCCTCTCTGGGTCTCTCCTGTCCCACTCTGTCCCCCCTGGTGTCCCTCCTGTCCCCCTTATCCCCTCCCTGTCCCCCCTGTCCTTTACCCCCATTCTCTGCCATCCCCTCTCCCCTTCTCCCCTCTCTTGCCCGGTCAGAGCCCCCCCAGCCCCCGGGGGTTCCCTCCGTGCCCCCCACTCACACTTGACCGCGTGCAGCACCCGGCTGTCCAGTGGCTTCCTGCTGGGGTCGTTGGTGGACGAGCGGATCCCGGTCCCGCAGCTGTTGGCCAGCGTGTTCCTGCAAGGAGGCACAAAACCCGAGCTGAACCCCCACCAAAAAAAACCCCAAAACGCTTCCAGACCCCAGTTTGGGGTGGGGGGCCGCTCACCGGTCGAAGAAGGAGGCGAGCAGGCGGCGCAGCAGCACCTTGTGCCG